CCTGCTGCTCAGGTTGCCCCGGCCCCTCAGCGCCGACAGCCTGCTGCAGTGGTTCCACCTGTTCGTGTAGCGGTCAGGCGACCTGCGCCTGCCGCTCCTGTTGCACAAGCTGCCCGGGCCCCTCAGCGTCCGCAGCCTGCTGCTGTTGTTACTCCCGTTGTGCCGGCGGAAGTACCTCGCGTTCGGGTTCCCCCTCCCGCTTCCACTAGGAAGAGGGGAGCCCAGACCAAGGTGCCTTCGCCCTCTTCTGGCCGGATTTCTATTTTTGCTTGGCTTTCTCACCCCGAGACTGTCGGGCAGACCCCGGCACTTCCAGTCGTTCCTGTTCTCCCTGCCACCCAGGCAGTGGGTTCAGATGTCCCCTCAACCTCAACCTCTGGCCTTGGGAGAAGGGCCCAGAGGAATAGGAATAGGAGGTTGCGGCTAGCTGCGTCAGAGGCAGAGAGGCAGCGGATGGCAGATGATGTCGTTCACGATGAGATAGTTCAGAGGTAGAGGAGAGTGGCTCCCAAGCAGTGGAGGCCACGTCCAGTTGTTGTTGCACCTGTTCCAGAGGTGATGGTAGCCCCCGAGTGGGAGGCAGTTCAGGGAGGACGCTTCTCCCCGTTGACGCATAGTGGTGATGAGGAGGATGTTGCCCGCATAGCGGCGGCTCCTCCTGTCGCCACTACTCTACCCCGAGCTAGGTTACCCATGGACGCTGGTGTCCGAGCCCTCACTCAGAGGATTCGGAACATCGTTCGCTTAGCTCATGGCAGAGGGCCCGTCAGTCGGGAGGGCTTACTCCGTTAGATTTCTCGGGCTACCTTCCAGTTGAGACGACAGACTGCAAGGAGACTTTACAGTTGGCAGAGGGGACAGACACCCCAGCAGTCAGTGCAGATAGTTCCAGTTGCTAGGCCGCTAGTAGTTGCTTCTGTGGTAGGACGATGCCCACGTCGTCGAGGACGGAGTGCCTCTATGTAGGGACTCATAGGGGAAGTGATCCTATGAGTACTGGAAGCTAAAGGTGTCTCAACTCGATCCGGTGACCCAACAGGAGTAACTAATGCATCCTCATCACAAGTCATCGGGATCGCTTCGGACCCGGGAGAAACTGCTACATCCATCTGATCTACTGCATCAACCTGCTGCACTGCCTCTGCCAACTGCACAGTCTCAGCTGGTCGTGCTGCCTCGACTAACTGTACTGACTGTACTAGCCCGACTGGTCGTACTGTCTCCACTAACTGTACTGGCTCTACTAGTCGTACTGTCTCTACTAACTATACTGGCTCGACTAGTCGTACTGTCCCAACTGGCTGTACTGGCTCAGCAAGGGTGTCCGCTTGTCGACATCTCCAAACACGTCTACTGCGACGGGGCTCTACGCGTGTAACTGGCTGCTCTGGAGCTACCACTACTGAACTGACCTGAGGCCGGGCAGGCTCCTACTGCTGTCTCCGTCCTCGACGACGTGGGCGTCATCCTACCACAGGAGAAACTACTAGCGGCCTAGCAACTGGAACTGTCTACATTGACTGCTGGGGTGTCTGTCCCCTCTGCCAAATATAAAGTCTCCTCGCAGTCTGTCGTCTCAACTGGAAGGTAGCCCGAGAAATCTGACAGAGTAAGCCCTCTCGACTGACGGGCCCTCTGCCACGAGCTAAGCGGACGATGTTCTGAATCCTCTGAGTGAGGGCTCGGACACCAGCGTCCCTGGGTAACCTAGCTCGGGGTAGAGTAGTGGCGACAGGAGGATCCGCCGCTATGCAGGCAACGTCCTCCTCATCACCACTATGCGTCAACGGGGAGAAGTGTCCTCCCTGAACTGCCTCCAACTTGGGGGCTACCATCACCTCTGGAACAGCTGCAACAACAACTGGACGTGGCCTCCGCTGCCTGGGAGCCACTCTCCTCTGCCTCTGAACTATCTCATCGTGAACGACGGCATCTGCCATCCGCTGCCTCTCTGCCTTTGACGCAGCTAGCCGCAATCTCCTATTCCTATTTCTCCGGGCCCTTCTCCCAAGGCCAGAGGTGGAGGTTGAGGGGACATCTGAACCCACTGCCTGGGTGGCAGAGGGAACAGGAATGACTGGAAGTGCCGGGGTCTGCCCGGCAGTCTCGGGGTGAGAAAGCCGAGCAAAAACAAAAATCCGGCCAGAAGAGGGCGAAGGCACCTTGGTCTGGGCACCCCTCTTCCTAGTGGAAGTGGGAGGGGGAACCCGAACGCGAGGTACTTCCACCGGCACAACGGGAGTAACAACAGCAGCAGGCTGCCGGCGTTGAGGGGCCGGGGCAGCATGTGAAACAGGAGCGGCAGGCGCAGGTCGCCTGACCGCTGCACGAACAGGTAGAACCATTACAGCAGGCTCCGGCGTTGAGGGGCCGGGGCAACCTGAGCAGCAGGAGCGGTAGGCCCTGGACGCTTATCCGCAGGACGAACTGGAACAGGGTGTGGCCTAAGCACTGGTCGCCTGGCCACAGTGCGCACTGGCTGCGCAAGTACAGGAACGGGACGAGCAGGTGCCCGGGCAGTCCGCCGAGCAGCTGGTCGTCCGAAAGGGCGCATGGCTGCGCGTCCTCTCCTCTGAGGAGGAGAGAATGCAGCAGCCTCCACCGGGGTCGGCCCACCTAGAGTAACGAAGGCCGAGTCAGTGAAGGAACCAAAAGTGATTCCTCCCACTGGCGGACTAGCGAGCAGGGACTCAGGGAGAGTCACCCGCGCGTTCGAACCGAAAGCAAAGGTAACAGAAGGAACAAAGGAAGCCATAGCACTGCTTCCAAGAAAAGAAAGTGAAAAGAATTAGTTAGAATTGAAATCACAAAAGAATGAAGGATTTGATAAAGATAGATATGAATTGATAAAGGGACGGAATAGCCTGCTAGGCTGGAAAAGAAGTAGAGTAGGGGAACCCTAGTTACAGGAAAAGGAACCCTAACTAAGGAAAGACCCTAACTAAGAGTGGGACGGACCTAATCTAAGGAGTACCATTCCCAGAGTACACACAAGAAAAGATAATATAAAATCCAAAGATGAAGAGAGAAACTGGTCCCACCGTGGTTGCCAGAAACCTGTGGACCTCCGAAAAGAACACCGCGTGAACGGGTCGATTGGAAGGGCAGATTGGATCGTGCATACGACTAACCATTGAGGATAGGGGCTATCGCCAACACACCCCGATGAGTAGTAATATACACGACCTAGTCACGGGTTTCCCCCATCCGATACAAAGGCTCGAATGGGGTTTAGTAGATGTGGGGCTAAGTTTCCCACGGGCGCAAGCCCCCGTGGTTAATTACATCCCAGGCCGAAGCCCAAGAAAATTCTCGATTAAGGATCATACATTATCCTCTCCTAAAGTGGGATTGGCACAATGGTATAGACTAAGAAGTCCTACTCAAAGGAAAGAAAGGTCCGAAGGGCTGAATCAATATGCATGGTTCATACCAGCATTCGGAGGCTCTATGGTACTAAAGAGAAACTGGAAAAAGAAAATCAAGCACTCAATCACATGCATGAGAGAAAAGATGGAGGTAGCGTCATCCTGTGACGTAGATAAGTAGGATTTATAATCATTGAAAGGAAGGGATCTATCTACTATTTAAGACATACTACGAGACCGAATGTAGTAGCCTCGAACCCTAAATCTAGATTGTGCTTAGTGCTCTACGAAACACTAAGATCCGTGTCCTAGCTAATGCAATGCAAAACCTGGACTTACCCCGGCCTGAATGGGGGAGCCAGCTAACCACCTAATCGCTTTAAAACCATGGTATCAAGTCATTTATGAAAGATGGGTGGGAGGTACAATTTTTTAGAAATAGGACCGACATCTAGAGAATTTCCTAATTAGTCCTGGACTTATGTAGGGTTAATGCTCCTAACTAATGCAATTAAATTTTAATTAATTAGTTACTAATGCAATGCATGCTAGTTAAAATGTCAGCTCATGAATGCTTTGGATTTTTTAAAAATAGGCTTAATATAAAATAATTTTTAGAAAAGACTGGGTCTCTCTAGATCCGGCACTTCATCCTCATAGGCCAGATTATCCGGACTCTACCCACAGGCAGGGAGATGTCTTATAGCAAGGAAAGAGAAATGCAGTAATATGCATGCGACCCCGGACGATTCTGGTAGTTCCCTATATTCGTTAGGTTTCTATGTTATTTAAACCTTAAAATTTTAGAAATTAGTTATGAGTAAAAAAATTTTATAATCCTTAAAAGAGCCTAACGTAATCCAGGCTAAAACAAAATCGACATGCAAGAAAGAAATCTAGAAAAAGCAGATATTTCTAAGCGCAATCAAGTAAGCACATCAATATAAATCCACAAAAATAATCAACTAAATGTCCATAGGCTAACTGTCCTTATTACAACCAGAATTTGCATAAAGTAAAGTGGTCGGGCGCCACTGCCAACAACCCGGATTTTTAAGCCTATGACAGACGCAAATGACTTTGAGTGGGATATTGGTCTTCAATCTTCTGGGTGTCTTCTTCTCCTTGGGCTCCTTGGACTCCTTGGATCCGTCGTGGCTTGAATATCCAAACGAAGAGATAATTCTCCCATTTGAGATTATTACATTTTCTCTTTGGATATCTAAAGTCATCCTACTCGATTTCTCAAATGGAAGAAGACTATCCCCTATAAGGATGTCTTCCCATTTTGGGATTCAAGTGGGATAAGAATATCCATACTCAAAGTTGCATTTTCACAACTCTTAACTTATTACAAATTTTTACATTCATTTATAAAAGAAAATTCTAGACTCCCTACATGGTTATCCTAATAAAAATCTCAAGCAGTTTATATAAAAGTGAAAATGCTAACACCATTGACCCTAGCAAACAATTCTATGTGTGTGTAAGGCTAGTGTGGTTTGGATAGATCCTAAGTGGGGTAATTAATTAAAATTGTTTAAAGTTTAGGTCTGTTGTAGGCTAGAAAAGGAAATTTTTGTTGAAATTCAAATATTAGTGAATTGGGGTGTATTTTAATTATTTCATTTTATTGATCAGTTTTAAGAGCTTAGGATACTGACATTTAAAGTTCAAGTAATATTAACCAATTTTGGAAAGTCCTGGGTCCTCCTAGGAACTAGACTGAGGGTCCAAAAAGTCATTACAGGAAAAAGGCTAAGTTTGGATCTCCTATCTCCTTAGGAAAATACTAGACCTTAATACGAGTAGTTAGACAGGTAGTAGGCTGAAATTGGAGTTTTCCAGTCAAAGTTATGAATATTCTAAGTTTAGGGCCCTAAATGAACTACGGTTGACCAAAACGTTGACTTTCTAATCTAGGCCAGCTTCTGGAAACCTAAAATTTTTAATAAATACTAGACCCTAATTGGAGTCTAATGCAAGTGAGTTTGCCTAATTTGGAATTTTTTACAATTAGTTATGGATTTTCTAAGGATCGGGTATTTATTGGAATTTTCTAAATTTTCTAATAAAGTGCCTTTTTTATTGTTTTGATCTGAATCAACTCCAAACAGATTGGAATCA